ATAGCACTCAAAAATTCAGTTAAACATCCATCAAAACATATTCAAAGTTAAAACCACAATAGCCCCTGACGATCTTTAAAAACCTTCTTTTCTAAAAGCCTGCCTTTTGAAGGCTAAGAAGTACCATTATAGCAAAGAAGAATAAATATTCTAATCATGATGAAGTCAGAGAAGCCAGTCTCATCTTCAATGGTCCTTTTAGTTAAGGTGTTCCAGTTGGTGGGTTTAGACAGCCTTATCTTAGCACACTTGCTTAAAAGTTTCTCTTTCTGGCATTCCTCAGGCAGAATTGAAACATTCATTTCTTTAGATATATTTGTAACCTTGAAAAACAAGAGGCCAAAGAATGCCTTGCCAGGCACTCTTGGAGCCTTTCCACACAGCCATATATCCCAGAATATCAAGGCAGAATAACCCATAATATCTGCTTTGAACTGGGTTTTTTTTATCTGGGTTTGTTCCTGGGTTTTGGATGTTTGTTCCTGATTGCTTGGTTCCTAAAAAGAAGGTGACACTTGAATAAAAGACAAAACACATTGTTTGTCTGCAGTCACATTCAGCTTAAGAAGATTGCATTCATCAAAGATGAGAAGACCTCATCTTCTCAGCTTTAGTATTTGAAATATCACCAGGTCATCTCACTCTAAACACACCCATCTTGTCTGTTTTGGGGGTTGTGTATGGTTAATAATTGGAAGGTCACTAGGGTATCTCACCTTAAATGAACCCCATCCTGTCCATTGAGAAGTTGGACATGGCTGGTATTTGGAAGATCACCAAGGCATCTCACCCTGTCTGTAGCTCACCCTGTCTGCTTTGGGTGGCCAAGCATGGCTAATACAGTAGGCCCTCCATATTTGCAGTTTTGACTTTCGAAGATTTCATTATTCACGGATTTCATCAAAATGATCCCTAGGTCTTCCAGCATCTAAACTCCGGCCCTCCAGGTGTTTTGGACTCCAGCTTCCACAATTCTTAACATTATTGTGTATATTTTTCCAAAAGATGACACAGTCTGAATATCTCCAAAATACTCCACTGATACCTAGAATTAGAAAAGGATATTGCAAAGTATATGGTCAAGTATAGAAGTATTCTGGGATCCTGCTCTCTCTCTCTCTCTCTCTCTCTCTCTCTCTCTCACACACACACACACACACACACACACACACACCAATACTCCCAATAATCCTCCATACTTGCGCAGAGGACAGATTTTAGGGACCCAGGAAAGGCTATACTAGAACAGATATGGACAACTGAAAGATGCTTGGGGCAACATTGCTTCACATTTGGTTTTGAAAAACACCTGGGCCTAAAATGGCAGGAGGTTGGTAAACCATGTCATCTGGCTGTTTGGGGGGGGGGGGGTGGTGTAGTACTGTTAATTGCTGCCAGGTCTACTTCAAGTTTTGTGACCACAGAAATGAGAGGCCTTCAAAMCTAGGGCTGTAGCTTCCTTGATTGAAGCTGGATCTACACTGCCATATAATGTCGTTTCAGAATGTAGATTAACTGCAATGAACAGGATTACATGGCAGTGTAGACACCAGCATAATCCATTCCAATGAGGTTAATCTGCATTCCAAAACTTCGTTATATGGCAATGTAGATGGGGCCAGAGTTACATCATGGCACTCATGATGGGATTTCATGATCCTGTGTGGCAAGAGACTATCCTAGCCTTTGCTGAGAAGACAGGTGAAATTAACCAAACATCTACCTGTGGTTTTTAACTTTGAATATGTTTTAATTGATTTAAACTGTCAATTTTTAATACTGATTATATTTAATTCTGTTTTAAAGTTTGCATAGTTGTATATTTTAAATTGTATGCTAATACCTTTATGTTAAGCCACTTTGAGTCTCCTTCAAGAGAAATAAAGTGAGATATAAATATAATAATAATAATAATAATAATAATAATACTTAGCGGTAGCAGGTGGGGTAGGGTTGAGGTGGGTAGAGAATCCCTCAGAGACAACAGCAGTGTCACCATAGCCAATGGTGCCCCTAGTGGCGCAGTGGGTTAATCCCTTCTGCCAGCAGGACTGAAGACCGACAGGTCACAGGTTCAAATCCGGGGAGAGTGCAGATGAGCTCCCTCTACCAGGTCCAGCTCCCCACATGGGGCATGAGAGAAGCCTCCCACAAGGATGGTAAAACACCCAGGCGTCCCCTGGGCAACGTCCTTGCAGAAGGCCAATTCTCTCACACTGGAAGCGACTTGCAGTTTCTCAAGTCTCTTCTGACACACACAAAAAAAACCCCATAGCTAATACTTGTTAGTACTGTGGTGGAAGAGGCATACTAAACCTCTTGATAGTGAACCTGTTTTTGAAATCTTTGACCATGAAAGCCCCATGTGACTGAGGGCATGTAGAGGACCACATGCTTCCTGTGGGGAGTTCTAAAGAAGATCATTGAATTTCACATATAGTCTTGTAGTATTTTGGGAGGTCTGGTTGAGATTAATTAGGGCTAATCACCATAGATAAAAAGAAACCAATGAATGATTTTGACCCCTTTTGGCTTTTTGTTGCTGCTTTCAACAGCAGGACATGCATTTCACTTTGGAGAGCATCATCATCATTGGCTATCACTTTTGGCTGAACATGATTGTTTTCCAAGGATAGAGGGTCCATAAGTGACTATGGAGACCTATTCTGGATCCGCATGGTCTTTCGCAGTGGGGACATACATTTCTAAATGGAAGCAGTCCCAACAAAGGTTTGCTTGACATGCTTTCCTCTTGGGACATTTCTCCCTTTCACCCTCTATTCATTTCTCTTTGGAGAGCATCAACCTCATCATCATCGGCTATCACTTGTGGCAGAGTATGATTGTTTTCAAAGGATAGAGCTTTGACTTTGGGTCCATAAGTGACTGTGGTGACCTATTCTGGAGCCGCATGGTCTTTCGCAATGGAGACATAGATTTCAAAACGGAAGCAGTCCCGATAAGAGTTTGCTTGACACGCTTTCCTCTCCGGACATTTCTCCCTTTTGCCCTCTATTTGTGCCTCTTCGAAATCCACTGCAATGTTGGTATGCTGGCCTCCGGTTATAACATGCTTGAGGGTCAGGGCTTCCTGGTTCTTGGTGTTTATTCAATTTGCTAATTACAGTTGCACAAAGAAGTTGATAAGAACAAAATAAGCCCTGCCCTGGGGCCCGACATGAGCATGTGATAGAAATGACAAGTGAAGGAAGATTTTTTGATGGAATTTTTCTCATGAGCATGTGTCAGCACATTTGTGGTTTCTCAACTTTCCTAATGCTGTGACCCCTTAATACAGCTCCTCATGTTGTGGTGACCCCCAACCATTAAATTATTTTTGTTGCTCTTCATAACTGTAATTTTGCTACTGTTGTGAATAGTAATGTAAATATCTGATATGCAGAATGTATTTTTCATTCACTGGAACAAATTTGGCACATATACCCTATTATGCCCAAATTTGAATACTGGTGCGGTTGGGAGGGATTGATTTCATCATTTGGGAGTAATTGCTGGGATTTATAGTTAACCTACAATCAAAGAGTATGCTGAAATCCACCAACTATTAAATTGAACCAAACTTGGCACACAGAACTCCCATGACCAACAGAAAATACTGGATGAGTTTGGTGAGTATTGACCTTGCGTTTTAGAGTTGTAGTTCACCTATATCCAGAGAGCACTGTGGACTCAAACAATGATGGATCTGGACCAAACTTGACACAGATACTCAGTATGCCCAAATATGAACACTGGTATATGTGGACAACTTCAACAGAAAGGAAGAAACCATGAAAATGAACAAAATCTGGCTACCAGTATTAAAAAAATCTGAAATTATAACAGTAAATAAAGAACAAAACTCAAATGCAGGGGAACTCCAGACAAGAAACAGTCAGGAACACCTAATCACCTCTCAACAAAGGATTCTTCCAGGCAGTAACAAGCCACACCTAAAAACTGTCAGGCCATCAAATGCTAATCAAGGTGGCCAATTGAAATATTCACACCTACATCCAACACACAAGAGTTCTTTCTCCCACCCTGGACTTTCCACAGATATATAAACCCAATTTTCCTAGTTTCCAACAGACCTCACAACCTCTGAGGATGCCTGCCACAGATGCAGGTAAAATGTCAGAAAAGAATGCTTCTAGAACATGGCCATACAGCCAAAAAAACCTACAATAACCCAACACTGGTGTAGTTTGGGGAAAATAGACCTTGACATTTGAGAGTTGTAGTTGTTGGGATTTATAGTTCGCCTACAATCAAAGAGCATTCCGAACCCCACCAACAATAGAATTGGGCCAAACTTCCCACACAGAATCCCCATGACCAACAGAAAATACTGTGTTTTCTGATTGTCTTTGGTGACTCTTCTGACACCCCCTTACGGCCCCTCGGGGGTCCAACCCCCAGGTTGAGAAACGCTGCTTTACAGCAAAGCACCTTTGTTATTTGAGCCATGAACTTGCAGGGGATGAAATATAGTTTTCTTGGAATTTATGTACTGGTGACTGGTTAGTGTTCTATAATATTTACATTTACATTTATTGACCAGAAGAGAGTCCCTCAAGTCTGAAGCTGCGACTGTGGCCTTCTGTCCTTAAACCTATGCACAAGAATCCCATAACCCCCAAAACCAGTGCTACAAATAGAACATTTAGTAGGTTATGACTTGTCGGTATCTTCTAGTGGAGAGATGGATCAGTAACCACCCTGTCTGTCGATAAAATCAATGAGTTTATTGCACAATATTAAGTCAGGGCTTGCGTGTAGTGAAAATAGGATTACTGTACACATAGCTGCACTGATTTCTCACAAGGTGAATTGCATCATGTGAGTAAGAGAAACATTCCACGAGGACTAGCAAACTGAAAAGTCACTGAACAGGTCAGTTTTGCTATAGGATAAAAGGCATTAGCACAGAAGGCTTATTGGGGGTGGGGGGGTCTCCTCCTGATAGGTGGTTCTTCCCGTTCCTGAAGTGTTTATAACTGGCCTTCACACAAGTTCTGTCTTGGGCAGAAGAAGAACGTGCAGGTCCTTCACCAATTCCAGCAGCAGGTTAGTGGCCAGGCATAGAAAATTCCTTCAGAACTCAACAGCTGTGGACTATGTTTCTTGGAAATGTAGTTCTGGAGGGACAGCTGTTAGCTGTCAGCACTTTAGCTCATTTGCACTGAAGTGGTCCTTTTAACCTGCCTTACCTCAGCACTTTTTCTCCCTCCATGACGCACTTTATGTAGACACGTCAGAATCAAGTGTTATGTCTATTGCACTTTAATAAGTGTTATGTCTATTACACTTTAACAACTTTTTATTATCTGTGTTATGCCCATTGCACTTTAACAACAAGTGTTACGCCTATTGCACTTTAACAACTTTTTATTACCTGTATAGTTGATATAACTTTGTGTGCACTTTAAGAACGAGGGATAAGCGGACTGACAGTGTTTTATTGTGAATTTTCTACATCCTCACCCATGCTACTGTCCATTCCCTGGTATTGGTATCTGTTAACCCTTCTTGTAACCAGTGGTAGTATAGATAAGGAATGGAGTGGACTGAGGAGTCCCGGAAGTAATATAGCATGGGATGAAGCTATGAATGTAGACTGCGTCATGGAGGAGGGAGGGTGTTCCAGTGGCTGGGGAGCCCCCATAGAAGTCGTGGTGGGGAGGGGGAGATACGGGAAAGGGAGACCTTTAATTCGGCCTAGGGAACATGGATCAACATTAGTAATTCCAAAGCGGTCTCCTGATGTGGGAAGTCGGTGTAACCAGGAAGGCGGTCCCTCCGGGTTGAAGGTGGTGCTGTTGAACGCCAGATCTGTCAATGGTAAAACAGCTTTCATCCAGGATTTGATCCTGGATGAACGGGCAGATCTGGCGTGCATCACAGAGACCTGGCTGGATGAAGCTGGAGGAGTGAATTTGACCCAGCTTTGTCCACCAGGTTTCTCTGTGCAGCACCAACCGAGATCCGGAGGGCGGGGAGGCGGGGTTGCAGTGGTCTATAGAGATTCCATTCGTCTGACCAGGGCCCCCATCCCGCAGTCAACAAAATTTGAATGCGTCCACCTGAGGGTGGGTGACCGGGACAGATTAGGGATTCTGTTAGTGTACCGTCCACCTCGCTGCACTACAGACTCCCTGACTGAGCTAGCGGGGGTGGTCTCGGGCCTGGCGTTGGAGTCCCAACGGCTACTTGTGCTGGGGGACTTCAACGTCCACGCCGAGGCCATCTTATCGGGAGCGGCTCAGGACTTCATGTCTGCCATGGCAACCATGGGGCTGTCCCAACAGGTATCTGGCCCCACCCACAGTGCTGGACATACATTGGACTTGGTTTTCTGTCAGGGATGGGAGGAAGGTGGCGGTGTTGAGGAGTTATCCATCTCTCCGTTGCCATGGACCGACCACCACCTGGTCAGCTTTAGACTCACTGCACCCCCTAACCTCCGCAGAGGTGGAGGACCCATTAAGTTGGTCCGCCCCAGGAGGCTTATGGATCCGGATGGATTCCTGACGGCTCTTGGGGAATTTCCCGCCTCCTCGGTTGGTGATCCTGTCGATGCCCTGGTCGCTCTCTGGAATGGGGAGATGACTAGGGCAATAGACACGATCGCCCCAGAACGTCCCCTCTCGAGTAGCCGAGCTAAACCAGCTCCTTGGTTTACTGAGGAGCTGGCAGCGTTGAAGCGAAAGAAGAGGGTACTAGAGAGTGTGTGGCGTTCGGATCCGAGCGAGCCAAATCGAACACGGTTTGTGTCCTTTCTAAGGGCATACGCCGCGGCAATAAAAGCCGCAAAGAAGACCTTCTTTGCGGCCACTATTGCGTCTGCAAAGAACCGTCCGGCAGAACTGTTCCGAGTTGTCAGAGGCCTGTTAAAGCCCACCATGCAGGATGGGTGCCCTGATGACTCGGCAGCTCGCTGTGAAGCCTTTGCTCAGTTCTTTGCAGACAAAGTCGCTTTGATCCGCTCTGGTCTGGATACCATATTAACGGCAGTCTCTGAGGATGTAACACGAGCATCTGCTTGTCCGGTTTTGATGGATTCATTTCAATTGGTTCAATCCGAGGATGTGGACAAGGTGCTTGGAGGAATGAGAGCTACCACATGCATCCTAGACCCCTGCCCATCCTGGCTTCTGAAGGAGGCCAGAGGGGGATTGGCCGAGTGGGTGAAGGTGGTGGTTAATGCCTCCCTTCGGGAAGGCAAATTCCAGCCAGCTTAAAGCAAGCTGTGATAAAACCGCTGTTGAAGAAACCATCACTGGACCCCACTCAATTCGTCAACTATCGGCCTGTTTCCAATCTCCCCTTTTTGGGCAAAGTCTGGAACGTGTGGTGGCCTCACAACTCCAGGCATTCTTGGTAGACACGGATTATCTGGACCCGGCACAGTCTGGCTTTAGGCCGGGGCATGGTACCGAGACAGCTTTGGTCGCCTTAGTCGATGATCTGCGCCGGGAGCTCGACAGGGGGAGTGTGTCCCTGTTGGTGCTGCTCGACCTCTCAGCGGCCTTCGATACCGTCGACCACGGTATCCTTCTGGGACGCCTCGCGGGAATGGGTCTTGGAGGAACTGTTCTACAGTGGCTCCGCTCATTCCTCAAGGGTCGGTCTCAGAAGGTGTTATTGGGAGACTCCTGCTCAACCCCACAACCTTTGTCTTGTGGGGTTCCTCAGGGTTCAATACTGTCTCCCATGTTGTTCAACATCTACATGAAGCCGCTGGGTGAGATCATCCGGAGTTTCGGAGTGCGATGTCATCTGTACGCAGATGATGTCCAACTCTGTCACTCCTTCCCACCTGCTACTAAGGAGGCTGTCGAGGTCCTGAACCGGTGCTTGGCCGCTGTGACGGTCTGGATGGGGGCGAACAAATTGAAATTGAATCCAGACAAGACAGAGGTACTCCTGGTCAGTCGTAAGGCTGAACAGGGTATAGGGTTACAGCCTGTGTTGGATGGGGTCGCACTCCCCCTGAAGACGCAGGTTCGCAGTTTGGGTGTGATCCTGGACTCATCGCTGAGCCTGGAACCCCAGGTTTCGGCGGTGACCAGGGGAGCATTCGCACAGTTAAAACTCATGCGCCAACTGCGCCCGTACCTTGGGAAGTCTGACTTGGCCACGGTAGTCCACGCTCTGGTTACATCCCATTTAGACTACTGCAACGCTCTCTACGTGGGGTTGCCTTTGAAGACGGCTCGGAAGCTCCAATTAGTCCAACGCTCGGCAGCCATGATACTAACAGGAGCGGAGCGCAGGAGCACACAACTCCTCTGCTGCACCAGCTCCACTGGCTGCCGATTTGCTACCGGGCTCAATTCAAAGTGCTGGCGTTGGCCTTTAAAGCCCTAAACGGTTCTGGCCCAACCTACCTATCCGAACGTATCTCGGCCTATCAGCCCACCAGGACCCTAAGATCTTCTGGGGAGGCCTTGCTCTCTATCCCGCCTGCTTCACAGGTGCGGCTGGCGGGGACGAGAGACAGGGCCTTTTCTGTGGTGGCCCCTCGGCTCTGGAACGCCCTTCCCATGGAGGTAAGATCAGCCTCCTCGCTGATGGTATTCCGAAAAAGACTAAAAACTTGGATGTTCAAGCAGGCATTTGGTTAATTCGGTGCAATGAATGTGTCGACTACGGATTGGTAATATGGATGATGCAATTGGACCACGATTTTAGTTAGGAGATGTATTGGATTGTGATTTATGTGAAATATTGTGTATTATGTTTTTTACGGTTTTAATTGTATACTGTGTACTGTATATTCTGTTGTAAACCGCGTTGAGTCGCCAGTTAGGCTGAGAAACGGCGGTATACAAGGACAGTAAATAAATAAATAAATACCTTCAAATGTAGATTGTGCTCACCGTCTTCTTTTTCTCTCTCCTTACTTGAAGAGCATTTGGTGGTCTGCATTTTTTTTCATCTGGTGCTTCCAGATGAAGCTTTTACAGAACAATCCTAATGACTTAACTGAAGGATGGGCATCCAGGGGACTTTGTCATCCTCCTTATTTTCCTTATTTTGCTATTTTCTCTTGCCTCCTGGATTTCTATGGTAGAGGAAGATACCATGCAATTAAGGTGGAGAGATGGATCAGGAACCTTCCTTGCTTTGGGGTTCCTGAGACTTGCATTGCTTTGCCCACCAGAACTTCCTTAAATCTCACTCCTCTCGGCCTTTTATGATACAATGTCGAAGAGGAGGCTTAGATGGTAATTCTAAGGGCAGCACATCTCCTCTCTGCCAGGCAACCACTTCTACCTCTGCAATTACTGCTTAATTCAACTTGAGAACATAGCATTCACAAACTAAATGTCTTTTTGAGTGGGTCAGGCATGGTTATTATTTGGGAGATCACCAGAGCATAGTAGACAATGCCTTCTCTTTTCAGACTTTGAGCCTAACACTGGTAGGGCCCACGATTTACAGAATAAAATTAGAGAAAGTATGGATTATAATGCTGTTTCTCAAACAGAACAGGAGTCTTAGAAACATTTTATACTGTGGAATAGTTCCCTCTCAGTTAAAAAAAACCAAGAAATACTGCAGTTGATGCAAAAATTGGTAGCCAGGTTGTTAACTGGAGCAAACTACAGGGAGCGATCAACCTCCCTGTTTCAACAGCTCCACTGGCTACCTATAAGTTTCCGATCCCAATTCAAGGTGCAGGTTATCAGGTTTCGGCGGTGACCAGGGGAGCATTCGCACAATTAAAACTTGTGCGCCAACTGCGACCGTACCTTGGGAAGTCCGACTTAGCCACGGTAGTCCATGCTCTGGTTACATCCCGCCTTGATTACTGCAACGCTCTCTACGTGGGGTTGCCTTTGAAGACAGTCCGGAAGCTCCAACTAGTCCAACGGGCGGCAGCCATGGTACTAACAGGAGCGGGGCGCAGGGAGCACACAACTCCTCTGCTGCACCAGCTCCACTGGCTGCCGATATGCTACCGGGCTCAATTCAAAGTGCTGGTTTTGGC